ATACACGAACCCCTTCCAGACCCTGACCCTTCCCCCAAAAATCTGGAAGAATTCAAAAAGTTCTCTGCTTTGTTCATAAGGCTCTCCAGAGCCCTGAATCTCTCTACACCTGAACCCACAGATACTGTGGTAGATCCATGCTTTACTTCTACTGAACAACAACAACCTGCTTCCACTGTGTTGCCCACTTTGCCCTTTCTACTAAAGATCTTAAAAAATACTGGTGTTTCCCCGGCTATGATCCTGGCAACCCCCAAGAGGGCAGAAAATTTATACCGTATTGATCTATCTTCAGCTTCGTGGCTATCTAAAATGCCTAAAGCAAATTCTATAGTAACTGATGCTCAACCAAAACCTGTCCAATCAAACCAGACTTCCCCCTCTGACAAAGAGGGAAGGAAACTTAACTCTATGGCCAAAAAGTTTTATTCCTCAGCATGCCTATTTGCACGCATGGCTCATTATGGGGTTTACATGAGTGTATACCAAACCTTCCTATGGAACAAAATATCTTCCTATTTAGAATTACTGCCTCCAGCTGACCAGCCACTGGCTCTGGCCTTTAAGCAAGAGGCTCTCCTTCTGTCATCATTGCAAAAGGACCTTGCAAGAAACACAGCCGATGCTTCTGGCAAACTCATTGCAGGCTCCGTGGCCCTTCGCCGCCATGCCTGGCTGAGGGCTGTTATCCTCTCTCAATCACAACGCACTCTCATTGAAAACCTTCCTATGGACGAGGCAGGACTGTTCAACCCTGAAACTGATTCACAACTTGAACATTCCCATAAAATGAAACAGACGGTCTTCAAATATGACCAACAACCTTACTCTCATCAACGTCAACGATGGGGCTCATACTACTACCGTCCTCACTACTACAACAGGCCTTATAATACCTCCTTCTACAGAGGACGCCAAAGATCTTACACCCAGTCTACGACCCCGAGACGTCCCCAACTCCCCTTCAGAGGTCAGTACCGTGGCTCCAGGCCCTCCAACAACTCTAAACGTTGTTTTTAGCACACCACTAACCACTGTCAACCACACTTCCACACATACATTATCACTTACATACCTCAACAGACTACAGTCTTTTCTTCCGGCATGGCAATCTATCACTACAGATGCCTGGGTCCTTGACATAGTTGAAAGGGGTTATGCAATAGAATTTGACACCTATCCACCCGTTGGGAGGGTTCTCCTCACACAACCCTCCCAAGAGATCTGGGAAGAAATACATTCTCTCCTTCAAAAGGGCACCATTTCTTCTAACCCCACACACAATGCTAACACCTGCTTCTTTTCTCGATATTTCTTAGTAGACAAGAGAGATGGAGGGCTACGCCCCATCCTGGACCTTCGCAGGCTTAACACCTTCATCACACCACGCAAGTTCCGCATGGTTACACTTCCTAACATCCTACCCTTCATTCCACCGGGAGCGTGGCTAGCGACGGTGGACCTGCGGGACACCTACTTCCACATCTCAATTAGAGAATCTCATCGCAGATTCCTAACCTTTGCAGTGCACAACAACCACTTCTCGTTCACTTCTCTCCCGTTTGGTTTATCCACCGCACCCAGGGTATTCACAAAATGCATGTCAGTCATAGCGGCACACCTCCGCCAGCAAAACATCGTGGTTTTTCAGTACCTGGATGACTGGTTATTTTGTTCTCCTTCAAAAACGCAACTGTACAACGACATTCATTACACCTTGTCTCTCTTACAGGACTTGGGTCTGGTAGTAAACCAAGAAAAATCCCATCTCACTCCGACTCAACGAATCCAGTTCATAGGAGCCGTCATAGACTCCTCTCTCCAGAAGGCCTTCCTCCCGGACGACCACTTCATCAATCTTCGACGAGCAATCCTAAGCCTCCAACACTCCCGCAGAACTTCGGCTTGGGCTATCCAATCTATCCTTGGCCACATGTCATCTACCACAAATGTGACCCCGTTCGCCCGTCTAAAGATGAGGCCGCTACAAAGCTGGTTCATCAAGTCCTTCGACCCCCTCCGGGAACCTCAATCTCGCATTCTATATCCGCCACACCCCGTCCTTCACTCCCTCTCATGGTGGACAAAGCAGTACAATGTTCAATCAGGGATGTCCTTCATCCAACCCCATCCCTCCATGTCCCTCACGACCGATGCCTCCAACTCAGGTTGGGGAGCACACCTCAAAGGGTTCAAAGTGAGCGGCCATTGGTCTCCCCAAGACCGCCAATTCCACATCAACGCGCTCGAGATGATGGCAGTAGAAAAGGCCCTCAGAGCCTTTGTCCGCATCATCTCGAACCGCAAAGTCCAAATTGTAACAGACAACACCGCTGTCAAATATTATATCAACAAGCAAGGGGGAACCCGCTCTCAGACACTATTAGCCATATCAACACGGATTTGGGAATGGTGCATTCGGAGGAATGTCCTTCTCACTGCTATCCACCTACCAGGCCAGGACAACACACTAGCGGACTCTCTAAGCAGATCCTCAAAAAACAATCACGAGTGGCAACTACATCACACACACTTCAAGACTCTCACCCGCAAGTGGGGCATCCCCAGGATAGACCTGTTCGCATCCCCCGTGAACACTCATTGCCCTCTCTACTGCGCAAGGCTCCGCCCTCGCGCATCCCCAGGTTGTCTCGGGGACGCCTTCCTGTTCCAGTGGTCCCCAGGCCTACTCTACCTCTTTCCACCACTTCCTCTCCTATCCCCCGTCATAGCCAAAATAATTCAGGACAACACAGACTGCATCCTGGTCACCCCCTGGTGGCCACGCCAACACTGGTTTGCTCCCCTGCTCCAGATCTCCAACAAAGAATTCCTCCGCCTCGACCCGACCCCAGACCTTCTCTCAGTGGAGAACGGACTAGTCCTCCATCCAGATCTCCACTCCCTCTCCCTCACGGCATGGAGGATCAGGCCACAATGAACCTCTCTGAGGAAGTATCACGAATACTATTGGCCGCCCATAAACCAACCACTAAGAAGTCGTATCATTATAAATGGTCATCATTTGGGAAGTTTACACAAGCAGTGGGATTCACTCCCTTATCAGCACCAATTCCTGTGGTACTAGACTTCCTGGTGCACCTCTCCAACAAAAACTTCTCCCTTTCCTCAGTCAAATGCTACATAGCAGCAATCTCTTCCTATCGCAAAAAATCCGGCTTGCCGTCCCTTTTTCAAGACCACCTGATTCAATTGTTTCTCAAGGGCTACAAAAATGTCCACCCTCCTACTTCCCTCCCTTCCCCTCAATGGAGCCTAGAGCTAGTG